TGCCTTACCTCTTTCAACTGACCAGAATCAGAAAGCTACATACTGGAGAGTAATAGATAAAGGTAACAGAAGTCCCAGTCCTGTTTTAGTAGACATTCATAAAAAACGAAAACTATACTAGCAGGAAGAGGAGCACTTTCATGAATGAACTGCTATCATTTGATCTGATTCCACTTTCAATCCACTTCCAATGCACTTTTGAATTGGATTTTGCCAGTTCACACAGTGAAAACCCAGTTGGAGAGTGCATTGACAGTGGATTATGTAGTGTGTGTGATTGCAGTCATACTGTTGCCCTGACCTGGGGCACTTTCACACATGCTAAATAATGTCGTTTCAATCCACTTCAGTGACCGTTTGCAAGTGTATTTTGCCATTTCACACAGTAACATCCAGTTGTAAAATACATTGAAAGTGGACTGAAAGAGCATTATTTATGTGTGTGAACATGCCCCTCGATAGGCCAGGCAAGCCTGATCTCATCAGATCTTGGAAGCTAAGCAGAGCTGTCCCGGGCAAGTAATTGGAAGGAAGACCTCTAGAAAATACCAAGGCTAGAGGCAGGTTATCAAGCCACTTTTCTGCATGTCCTTCGTGCCCCAGTAGGGGTCACCATGACTTCCAGGCACGGGCATGCACACACACACAAATGCAAAATTCTACATAGTGTCCATGTCTAAGCAAATCAGGAATTTGACATATTAATTCTATTTAATGGCATTGCATTTTTATTCACTATGCTTATTTTAGTCTGCTCACAGCAGCGCTGTAAAATCTAATTTTCTGACCTGCAGATTTCTGGTTTCTGTCTTGTAGCACTTTATTGCCCCTTATCATTAGTGACAACCTTTTGGAATCTTCCTATGACTTACTGAAAGATGACTTCTCTTTATTCATCAAATATGCTGCAGTGTGATCAAGTTGTCAAAAAGCAGCTCCATAGGAGTAGCTGAGATCTTTATAAAATATGCAAAAAACAAAATTAGTGTGTACAAATAAGTTTTGCCCTAAGGGCCTGGGGGTGGGGGTGGTAGATCATTGGATAAACTGTGTTAAGTGCTGGAGGGCATCCCGTTCTGGGAACAGTAAGGCATTGCTGCAGCGTCCTGCTAATGCGAAAGTGGTATCCTCTTCTAATTTTCTTAGAACTGTATAATTGTGAGTGTGTTTGTGATATTGTATGCTTGTGAAAAACCTTCAGTAAAGGAAATAATTTTATACTGAAGCTTGCCTCTGAGTCTATTCCTGGTGAGCTGGGAAGAAGTGGGACCCCTGTATCCACTTGGTGCTTGCTCCCTTATTTTGCTTCTTGCCTCGTGGTACATCTTAAATCCCCTAAATATCAATCAGAATCCAGGCAATTTAGCTAACAGCCACCTTGGTGCTCCCTTAACAAATAGATTCTTTAATAAATAAATAAATACACATTTCTATCTTGTAAAAGTGGATGCTTGGGTGAAAACTACTACTAATAGGTTATAGTTTCAAAGCAATGCAAGTCAAAGCAGAGCACTGCGGTGGGGGTGGGGGAAAACATTCAAAGGCCTGGCAGAGTTACATGGAAAAATGGTTTCAACTCTCAAATGATGTGTAAAATAAGATTTATAAGAAAACTGAAACATGAATCTTTATATGGAACTCTGTGTATTCCAAGCTGACCTCTGTTACCAAGTATTAAAAATAAATCACATTACAGATGTCTCAGCACATGGCCCTTGCTTCATAAAAGCATCCCATTCACAGTAACTAAAATAGGATCTGGATTATGATTAAGTATACCATTGGCATATAAATCAGCAGGAACTTGTACTTTTATTTGGAAGTAACACATGCATTATACTAACCAGTTCCATTGTTATATGTAAAATACTTACAATGACCTACTGGAAAAATTCAACAGATTGCTCCTATGTAGCTACCATGCTACCAGGATTATTGCCTAGTGGTAGAAATAGAGTCGTCATGTGATCATGGCAATGAAAAAAGAAAGATCACCACACTGGAACAGTAAGAACCAAGCAGGCAATGATCTGGCTTTGTTGAATAAACAGCTATTGTGCAGGTGTAAAGATGCTGCACCCAAACTTTGACGAAGATAATTCAGGCAATGCAGTCAGGAGCTTCTCTTGCATCTGTTCAAGAGAGTCCAGCAAGATACGGTCACCTAGCAATCATATTTGTGCTGAAGCTCACAGCATCCTTTTTGGAAACTATAGGCATGCATTCATGCCATGGCTGCATTATCTTTAGCTATATTTTTGTATCCAGCAGCAGGGATTTGCAAATGGTTTCAGACAGTTAGACTCAAACTCCATGCCCACTGTGAGTTGACTCTGTTGGCTTTTAAATTTAAACCACCTTTTGGAGAGAGACTGAATCCAGTCCCCTGTTCTCCCTGAACAGCTGCCTGACATTGTTGTTGATAATGATATCAGCAAAGTGAATGTGACCCCGTTGCAACATGCATGAATTTCTGAATCTGTGCAAGGCTAAATTAAAGGTCTCCTAACACACTGTAGCACAGATCATATAGAATTCTTCTAGTGCCTCAGTCACACATCTCAATGAATTTTCTTCTCCCACCACTCAGGACCAGTTTTGACAATCTTCTTGTACATGCTGAGGTGAAGGTTGTTGGTGCACAGTACTGTTAGGAGAGTGCTGAAGACATAGGCACACTTTTCATCCAGATTGTCATTCAGACATGAAAAAAATGGAATGGTTTTGTAGTTTATGACATGCTGAATGCAATTTTGATGAAGCAGACTATTGCTTTTTTGTTTTATTTATTTTAATTTATACCTGGAACTCAACTTACAATTTCTCTGATCAGAAAACCAATTTATAAATATGGCCATAGTACCTGTTTCATATTACCAACAATTGTGGGCAGACAAAATCCTTAGAAAATTCTTGGTGGTATATTCCACAACTGTACAAATAACCACTGATGAAAATGTTCATTTTAGGTTGGATCTTGTAAAATGATCCTTTACGCTTGCAAATCTTGCAAAATGTCTACCACCGCTTGTAAAACCAGTTTCCCAGTTGCACTGGCTATAATTTCTTCACTTAATATAATTTTATATTGTAACACTCAACAATATAATTTTAAAAGTATTCTGACAATCTTTGAAAACGTTTTTTAAAATAGCTTTTTTTGTACTTTATGGCTATTGTGACTTACTTGGTTCAAGAGGAGATATGAAATCTGCATGCAGATGTTTTCTCCTGCTCTCTGCTTCTAGATTCTTATGGGTTGGATTGTACAAATTAAATCAACTGAGATATGCTCTAGGTCAGAATATTGGCAAAGATGGCTCACAAGGCATGTTCCATCCTTACTAATAAACTTTATTAAAAGTTATTGGCTTTGCCTGTGTATGTATCACCACTATTACAAAAGTCAAAATCAGTATCATGTACAAAAATAACCTTCCTTATATTATAAAAGATACTTGGGGTGGCAAGATTCGATGCGTGGCAAAATCAGTTGGCAGCTGGAACTGTCACTCAGAACGTGCTAGCTGCATTGACTGGATGCGTGGTGGGGTACCGCCCACAGAGGCCCCCGCCACCGTCACACCCTCACCGTCACGCCGGATGAGATGGACCCTCCGCCAGCCGCAGGCAGCACGCACATCTTACCTTCCAATTTGCCCAATGGCGATGGGGAGCCAGGAGAACGGGACCAGCTGGCCTCGCTGTGGCCTGCTTGCTCCCTCCGGCCCTAGCCCAAGCCCACATGGCCTATGCTGCCACTGCCTCCCTCCCATAGCCGCCCAATCGTGTAAGGGCTGTGGAGAGCTGGGCCCCGGTTGGAGGGAGATCGAAGTGTGAGACAAGCCAAAAGCGCCATGGCCTGCCTTGCTGTGGGCTCCTCTGTCTCCGCTCAGCCCGGCCAGCAGCATGATGACTCTGATGGGAGAGGAGGGAGGCGTGGCACCTCTGCTTTGGCACTGTGCAGCCTGCCACCTGCCCGTCTTCGGGCCCCCCTTCCCTTCTGAGGCTGGTGGAAGGGCCGGGTGCTGTGGGGCCTTTCCTTTGATGGAGCACCACCTGTTGCCAGCCCACCTGAGGCTGGTTGGAGGCCTCTGGGAGGGCCGAGTGCCGTGAGAACTCTCGCCCAGCGGCACGCTCACTGCCACCACCCTGTCTTTCCCCGCCCCCCCAGCTGAGAGGACAGAAACTCTGGTGACTCTGTTGCTGGGGGTGGGGAGAGCTGCTGCGAGGGAAGGGACAAGGCCGGACGGCCTGGCCCGCCAGGCTCTTGAGGGGGAAGGGATGAGGCTGGTGACTCTGCCGCTGTTGCTGGGAGTGGGGAGAGACACGGCGAGGGAGGGGGCGAAGCCCACCAGAGCCTCGAATGGGGGGGGGAGAGAAACAACGAGCTCCATGAGTCTGGCAAAGCCAATGCCACTGGGGGCAGGGAGAGCTGCAGCGAGAGAAGGGATGAGGCTGGGCGCCTTGGCCCGATGGTGCCTCAAATGGGTGGGAGGGAAGGAGAAATGCCAGTGAGTCTGCCGCTGGGGGCAGGGAGAGCCGCAGCGAGAAAAGGGATGAGGCTGGGCATCCTGGGCCACCGAGGCCTCGAAGGGGGGGGAGAGAGATGAGACTGGATGGCCTCACCCGCAGGGGCCTTGAGCGGGGAGGGGGGAGAATGAGGCCTAGTGCCCTGACCCCCCACTACCTCGAACGGGGGGGGAATGGACAAGCCCTACTGACGTAGCCCACCAGGACCTTGAACGGGGGGGGGGTTACGAGGCCTGGCACCCTGGCCCACCAGGGTCTCAGATGGGGTGTGCGGGAGGAGATGAGGGGAGCTGTGGCCGGGCGGCCTGGCTAGATACCGTTGTATTTATTATCACAATGGGCCTTATCCCAAGTATATAAATAAATCTAATTTTCTTCTCATGAACGTAGCCAACACGTCTGCATTTTGCATCAGCACTCCTTGATGACAATTTCACAAACATGGCATAGCTAGTGATAATCAGGGCAACAATTTGAAGAACTTTAAGTGCACCCATAGGCTAACTTGGAGAAGCATGCCTGGTGGAATTATTGACATTTGTTCTCTGTATGGCAGAATTCTGCTCCCATCCATGGTTCCAAAGGTTCCTCATGTCATAAGGCAAAACACAAGCTCAGAGCTACCTTGGGTGCACAGAAACAGGCATATTACTTCTTTGAATCCTGGGCTGTTTCTTATCCAGAGATTCTATGGCTAGAATAGGACAAACTTTAGAATCCAGGCTAATGGGGCACTTGTGCATTGACCAGTGTATGATAGAATCCTCCCATTGATAGTAGTTGAGAGTGAGTTCCTTGTTCTATCACTTTGCCATTTTGGATGACTGCTATGATGTCAGCATTCTGGATAGTGGACAACCGGTGAGCAATAACGATACATGTTCGGCCCTTTCGGGCATCATCCAAAGCCTTCTGGACAATCTGCAGGCAACAGCAAAATATAAAACATCTTCACAATGATAGCACAGAACCATAACATACATTTTTAAGCTAATCTACTACTTCTCATTTGTATTGTGAACAGTAAAGCAAAGGTCCAGATGGGCAGTTGTGTTGGTCTGGAGCAATAGAAGAAAGGGAGCGTCCAGGGGCACCTTTAAGACCAACGAAGTTTTGTTCAAGGTATGAGCTTTCACCTGCATGCACACTTCTTCATTGTATCTGAGAAAGTGTGTGTGCACATGAAAGCTCATACCTTGAATAAAACTTTGTTGGTCTTAAAGGTGCCACTGGACTCTCACTTTCTAGTAAAGGAAAAGTTTACTTTGTAGGAAAGTAAAAGAAAACGATTTATTAACCTTTTCACTTTCAGTGTCAAGGGCAGATGTGGCTTCATCCAGGAGTAGAACTGCTGGTTTACGGACAAGAGCACGAGCGATGGCTATTCTTTGCTTCTGGCCTCCAGAAAGCTGTGCTCCTTTATCACCTACTCGTGTATTATATTTCTGCAGTTTGAAAACACAGATCACAGGCCTTGTGAGCTTTCTCTGTGAAAGAATGCCAGTGCCATAAGGCAGTATTCAGAGCAGTGGCACAAAATATTTGCAATACAGAAATAGAGAGAGAAACAACATACATTTCATATTTAGCTTTACTAGAAAATTTGTATAATAGATAATCTTCTTGCCATACTATGAGAAAAGGAGGAGGGATGGGGATAGGTGTCCTTTTGCAGACAGGAGGAGCTGGATAATGAAAGCACGTTTTCATTTACCTCTGGGAGATTCTGTATAAAGTCATGTATATTAGCAGCTTTGGCTGCTTTTTCAATTTCCTCCTGGTTGACGACTCTGCTGTTGTCTCCATATTGGATGTTTTCCGCAATGCTGCAGTCAAACAGAATAGGCTCCTGTTGCACAAGGCCTAGCTGGGATCTTAACCACTGTATTTGCAGAGATTTTGTGTCCACTCCATCTATAAACTAGAAATTGAAAGGGTGAAAACTAATAGAAATAGTATAAAAATGCTTCACTGCAAAATTAAAAGTGTGATGGGAAGAGACTCCCAGCCCAGGATGATGCTCAGATTATAGGCCTTGAAACTGCATTTGAGATATTGTTGAGATCTAGGGCATACAGGTACACACACACACACACACACACAATAAGACATCACAGGGTATCCTGAAAAAAAATCTTTCCCCTGACTGTAGTATACTGAACTTTTTAGAGCTAAACCAGACAATACGTTTGGCCACACAACAGCAGTGGGGAATGTATTCAAATAAGGACTGCAGTGCTAGGGAGGAGGGCCTCCTTCCTTCCTTCCTGTGTCATTTTCCCAAGCTGAAATGAGACATTTTGGCTTGGGAAAACAGAGCAGGGAAGAGCTGGAACCCCTCCACCTGCAGTGGAGTGTGAAGTAAGTTCCTTGCCGCTGACATGTGGCTGTGGGGAAAGCAACTTGGGGCAGAACCTCCATCCGACTCGTGGCCAAACACATTGTTTAGTTTGGCACTTATTTGTGTAGATCACTGTCACCATACTGAGAATCTCGGTCTTTCTACATTGGTCTAGAGAGGCAGTGAACATGATGGCAGTGATCAATATGGTGAACGGCACTAGATATTTTGGATGCCACAGATAAATCACTTGTTTATCTGGGAAGCCATTTTCTGAGATGAACTATGTGGGTCAGCTCTTTTTTTTTGGGTAGACTATAGGATTAAAAGATCTTTTTTTATTTTAAAAGAACCATTGTAACACTTGGTGGATGTTTAACTTGGTGAAGAATGTCCCTTCAAGTGCATGCAGTTATGGGCTCCAGATGGGCATCTTTTCAAAGACTCCCATTGTGACTTGATTTGAAGAACACCCCTTGGAATCAAGATGCAAACATTGTGTTTAAGGTCGGCCCTGACTGTGAATCCAAAAAGGGTATTATGTGCTGGCGGGGAGACTTGGAAGAGGATGGGGTTGAGGTGAACTGGGAAGACATGTCCAGCACAGTCAGTATGGTGCCTCTATCCTGATATTGTTAGACCCACCCACTCTCCATCCTGTGTGAAGATGCTCGAATACCTGGTTGTATGTTGGAAATTGCAGAGTCTGCTGTTCAAACTTCTCCTTTCTCCTTCCAGGTTCTGATGTGAAGTTGAGCCAGGAAGAGAAGGTGGCAGTCTTGCCAGACACTGATGAGACATCAATTGGAACCCCACCACGCCAAGGTGACTGGCCTGTCATAGGCATAACCCAGACCCCCTGTCCTGCAGTGAGGACTCTGTGGGCAGCTTTGGTTTGGTCGTGTCTCCATGTACAGCTATGTTGCTCTTTCAAGTGTCCCATTCAGAGGGTCATGGCTGTCCCTTTGAAACACCACCTCCACTAACACAAAAACCTTTCTGTTTCCCTTTAATGCAAAAAAAGAACCACAAAATCAACCCAGGAAGCGGGACCACCAAATGTTGACATTCAGAGGAGGGTCCCTGATGGTGAGTGTGATTTTACTGTCCCAAAATCAAAATTACTTGGGTGTTGTTGGGTGGGCTCTGGTGGACTACATACCCCACCATTTCTCTATATGGTTACTCAGCACAGTGACCTTGGGACAGGGAATGACAACTTGGAGCCATTCCGCCAACCAATCCAATGCCTTCCTCTACTCCTAATCAGTGTCCACTGACAACCAAAAACTGTTCTCTCTGTTCTCTACAGATGTTGCCCAAGGAGCAATTCTTTCCAAGCTATCTCCCACATCTCACCTGGCACTCATTAGATCAAAGAGGAGATTTCTATTGGCGACCTCATGTTCATGCCCTGGTGCTGGATCCTTCCCCTCAGAGACTCCACTAACCAGTGGAACATGACCCTGGTCATCCTGAAATTCAGGAGCCACTGCTCATTGTCCCAGATTTTAAGCACAAAGGATTGCCACCATTGTGGGGACCGAGGGTAGACCCACCACCTGCGTGAGCCCCCGGTTCTTGCAAGACTGATGAACAGGGACCTTGCCAGACCTCTTCTGGCCATGTAGTCACGGATTCTCACTCTGCAATGAGCCAGGTAGTGGCGACAAAGCATGGCCCTTTTTCTTCTGATCCAGACTATTCACCCTCGTCCTCTTGCAGCAACAAGATGACTGTCCTGATGCCCAGCGTAAGAGTGATCCAAGCTATCTCCCGAGTATCCATACTGTGGCAGATCAGGCTGTGTGAATGTGGTCTGGGGAACCTCGTTATGCGTGGAGTGATTCTCTGATGTTCTGGGGATGATGGAGAAAGTAAAGGTCAGCCAAGCGGGAGTGGTGATTTGATCAAGTGCCTATGTGCATGTGGTCCTGTTGTTGCCAGATGTATTGTTGTGCAGAAGGGTATGCTTGTACTCCAAACAGAGGCCCTTTGTCTTCATTCTGCATCAAGGACCATCCATCTATGGCTATGTGCTTGAATTTTTTTAAAGGCTTCTATCACTGCACTGCTGTGGGTGCTGCGGTGCAAATCTAGATGATCAGCTGGGGAATACCGGGACTCGTTGCACAGTGAGGACAGTGTAAGGAGGGATGTCTACTCATCTCAACCCGTAAAAAGGACAGGATGAAATAGCCGCAGACTGAAGCCGCGGTAAGGTTGCCGTGTGACTGCACCCACAGTGGAACACAGGGAGCAGTAAGAAGTATAAAATCTGCAGCACATTGAGTATTAAGGAAAATGAGTGTTAAACGGTCCAAAGCATTGATTTACAAGAAACCCCCCCCAGCTGTAATAATTTCAGGTAAATTCCAGTGTATGCTGTGCATTTTGCAAATCCCACTTCTCCTCTTTATGTTCTAGTGTGCACAAAATCACTGCAAGAGTAGGTTTTACCACTCCCTCCAAAAGAAGAGAAGATCTGCGTGGGGAAAAATATTTGAGCATGGACTCAGAGTTTCTGAAACTGCACAGCAGTATGTGATTATAGCAAGCACATTTACAAGGGCATTTTTGTTGTATGTGGGAAAATACTTTGTTGCAGAGCCTATATAGGGTGAAAGAAAGCCCTAAGAACTGGGAACTTGATTATGCTAATGGAGAAGAGTGTTATATTAAAACTTTACATAACATGTCCCCCCCCCCAATTATTGATAGTGAGGAACATAAAATATCTAAGTCAAAATGCTCAGAGCAAGACAGAAAAATAGAACCCAGGTGTGCAGGGACAGAGCAGTAGGCTTTAGTGCATACCCTTCTGAGTTTGCATGCAACACAATCTTAAGCAGAGTTACACCCATCTAAACCCATTGAAGTCAATGGGCTGAGGAACTATGTGGGTCAGCTCTTTTTTTTTTGGGTAGACTATAGGATTAAAAGATCTTTTTTTATTTTAAAAGAACCATTGTAACACTTGGTGGATGTTTAACTTGGTGAAGAAATGTTTCTGATTCAATGTTGACTTCCAACTAAGGTCCAAGAGTAGATGTTGACTTACCACATGTCCTGATACTGGGTCATAAAATCTCTCCAGAAGTTGAATGGAGGTGCTTTTTCCACAGCCACTGCTCCCCACCAGTGCCAGAGTCTGCCCTTTATTAACCTTTATATTGAGCCCTTGCAAAACTTGAACTTCTCTTCTGGTCGGATATACAAAATGGATGTCCCTAAATTCAATGTTGCCTTCAAACTTCTCCTAAATAAAAAGAAGTTTTAAAAATAAAGCTTGTGTTTAATATGATAATTTATGTTGTTTTTAAGATTTTAATCATTTTTTCTTGTGAGAGATGGCATATAAATTATCCATCCAGCCAAGCAAACAAACAAATTAGAAAATATTTGATAATGATTCGGCAAGAAGCACATTTTCCCCCTCCCTCCAATTCTTACAAAATGAGCACAAAATTATGTTCTATGGAAGGTTTTGGGTTTGCTGAAGGTAACAGGAATGATGAAATTATAAGTTATCATGTTTGGTGCATGAGGACCTAATTACACATTGTTTCCCTCAAATGTGATGTGCTGTGAGTTCTGCTCTGGGAACTTAATACCCAACATGTTCAAGATGATTTGAATTAGATCAAGAGGACTGTAGTCTCTCCCTGTGCCATTTTCCTGACCTGAACTGAAATCGCTCCAGGGATTTGCTGTTTGCTCCATTAGGGTAACCATGAGCACACATGGTCGAGTTACCAACATCCAGGTGGTGTCTTGAGGTCTCATGGGATTACAATTGATCTCTAGATGACAGAGATAAATGCCTCCGGACTAATGGGCAAAAAGTGGCTCTCCAGGTCCATTTCAGGTCAGGAAACTGGCACAAACTCAAGATCCCTCCTGATATGCTGCGGTTCTGATCACAGTGGGGCCTGCACATGAATTAAGTTCTTCAAACAAAAGTCACAATAGATGTTTGATCATCCACCCATAAAGGACACAAGGAAATCATCATATGTAGTTAGGCTCTAAGAGGATACATATTACTTCCTTTCTTGATTGGCTAAATAACTGGCAAACAAAAAATGTCCCATAGCAGTTTCTCTAGTGGAAAAAAGTCAAGAATTCCATCAAATCACAATTTAAAAATTGCTACTGTTTATTTATTTGCAAAGAAAAACATAAAAGGCTATTTAAATATAATAAAATTTAAAGTTTTCTGTAGTATGATAAGGAAAGCCTCACCAGTTTTTCACCTTCTTCACTGTAGCTATCAATTAGAGGTTTCCGATCCAAAAGCTGAAAAATTCTTTGAGCAGAAACTTTTGATTTACCAAAATCTGGTGCCAGAGAATTAGACCGCCCAACATGCATAGCAGCAAAAAACACAGAAGCAAAGACTCTAGAATCACAAAACACAGATTTTAAGGAGCTGTACTAGAAAACAAAGGACACAGCAACATAACCTGCAGATCTCACTACACATGCTATCATTCATTTCTCACATCTCATTGTAAACTCTTTTATTATGCTGTATGCTAATTTGCTGCTATTCACAGGTTTTACCAATGGCCTTAATCCAATCTTAGCTATATTTATCGCTCAGTTACTTATGCATCTTAACTCTAATGAGCCCTTCCTGGCAACATCCTCCCCTCCGCACCCTCTTACCTATATGTGATGGCTGGTGACTTCAATTTCAATGTATCTGAAGAAGTGACCATGCACACAAATGCTTATACCCATAATAAAGCTTTGTTTCTCTTAAAGGTGCCACTGGACTCAAACTTTGTTCTGCTAATTGAGACCAACATGGCTACCCATCTGGATTTTATACAGTGTAAATTAGAGATGGAGGGCTGTATCAGCCAGATTTTTAGCTGGTGAGAAAGAAATGAGATGTCTTCACTGAACACCAAAAGCTGCTATGCTGGGGAAAACAAGGGATCTACATCTACAAAAGACACACTGAATGGGAGCTGTATGTTCTCCAATACCTTTGAAGGCTAGTATGCCCTAGAATATATGCAATACCTACTTTCTTAGAAAACTTAAACTTATTTTAACTTCTGTATCATTAAGTGTATCACTTATGATTTAGCATTTAAAATTGTACTATATGACACTATAAAATTAACAGTATAGGTTGCAACCCTTTGGATACTTATTTGGGAGTAAAGCCCAGTCAATACAATGGAACTTTTGCATAGACATGCATAAGGTAGTGCTGTAGTTTTCTGTGAGCAAATTTGTGAATTAGAATGGGAGCACTACCTTAGCACATATATCTTACCTTTTGCCATATGAGAGGTATGAAAAAAAGAGAGAACACAAATTTTGTTGTAATAAAAAAGGCTATAATTGGATAGAATTCTCATAAAATAACAACTGAATTAGCAGTAGAGATGGGCACAAACTGGCTGATGAGCTAAAGTTCGTCACAAATTTTTACCTATTTGTGGTCTGCAAACTGAAGAACTGCCATGAACTCCCAAGAATATTGATGCCGTTTGTGGTGGTTTGTGGGGAGCAGAAAGCAGAGAGCTTTCTGCACTTCACAAAAAAACAGCTGAGCCATGGGAAGCCATTTAAACCCTTGTTTTCTGCTTGCCACAAAAAGCAATGGGGAGCAGAAAGCAGGGGTCATGAACCCATACGAACTGGTTCAGTTTGCGAACCAACCTCCCAGTTCATATAGGTTCATGGTTCAGCTGAACCATGAACCGAATCGCAAAAATGTGGTTCATGCCCATCCCTAATTAGCAGCACATAATGAAAAAAAAAGGTTTCTCTGGCCTTGGTCACACGGGCCAGATAACGCGGGGGGGAGGTGTGGCTGTTCACCTTGGAGCAAAATAAAGCGCGTTAGTCCGATCACACGGTCCCCCGAGTCTCCGTGCTTAGGCTGTTAGCTGGCGATCACATGGCGATGCTGCAGTGTGGCAAAGAAGCGGCGAGATCACACAAGCGTTTCACGTTTGTGCGCATGTGCAGTTCCGCAGAGCAACACTGCTTTCAGTTTGGTGTTTGTGCACATGCACTTATGAAAAACATCTAGTTTGTGATGGAACGTGGACAGGCGCCGGATGCCACGGGATACTAGTGCTCCTGTGATCAGATGCCCACATGTGCCGCACATTTTCTGGATACTAGTGCACTTTCCTTGGTACTTTTAAACTCTGCATCTTCGGCGGGATGCCACGGGTTGGCCACGGGTGCGTTACGCTTCCCAGATTTTGCAGTGTGATTGTGCCCCAAAAATCCACCCAACATTCGTGCCTTTCGCATGGCAAAATCTCCGTGTGACCAGGGCCTCTATTAGTCAGTAAACAGCAGATACCAATGTACCAAGTATTTCTTTTTGTGTCTGCCTTGCCTCATTAAGTAACTCTGATCCATTAATATAGATCTTAAAAACAGAAAATATACTCACATAAAGAATTGTTCAGCGTTTATGAGACAATGTGCAATAAGCCATGCTCCAAATCTGAAGATAGCAGCATTTATAAAAAAGTTGGCACACTGGGATATTCCATATGTAAAACCATTAAGTGGAGCTTTTTTCAATGAGTCCCTGGCAGAAGATGCAGTCAATAAAAAAGAACAATTTAGAAAAACATATTTTGTCATGAAACAAAAGGAGCAGTAAATAACTTCAGCTTCTCAGATCACCTATATTTTTAGCAGTACCTAACATACATGCTATGGGAATTGCCACTGTTTTAGATCTGTCATCTCATCTGCATTAAAAACACTAACTTTAAATGAGTAACAATGGGGGGGGCAGGAAGATCAGCTCTGATTAGCAAAACTTTTTGGGGAAAGGTGGGTTGCCACCTTCTAGGTGGGGTCTGGAGATCTCCTGGAATTGTAGCTAATCTCCAGATGTTTTTCGGACCCACTGGCATTGGACTCTTCATGTAAATGCAACATGGCATATGGTGAAAAGAGTATGGGGACAAAAGCAAGATGAGTTCAGAAGTGGGGGTGCATATTGCTGCTTCACTGCACACTGAGCATACATGCTTTAATTTAAATGTGATTAGGGTAAGTAAGACTGAGAACTGCACTGTATTCTACAACATTAAGTCTTGAATCTTAGTTCTTACCTTACTCAGTAATACTGTCCTTTACTATAGCTGTACATGAAGCAGCATCCTTCCCTTCCCATCGCAACGTACAAAGAAGTCAATGTCTTGCATGAATTACCTGTATGGACTTTCTAAGCTTGTTTTATATTGCTCGAAAAATCGATCTTCTCTTGTTAATGCAACCACTGTTCGTATGTTTTCTACAGCTTCTGTTGAAATCTGATTTGAGAAACAAGGAAAATTTTTGTTTAAAACCCCTTTTTTGGCTATTTATTACAATACCACCTTTCTTCAGACACAGCAAACCCAGTGTAGCTTACAGCAATAAACATAGCCAGTTTAAAAACTTCAGCAGTACAAGGAAGTAGCTTAAAAAGAGAAAAACAATACAGCAACTGATTAATCTACATTAAAAGCTGTGCTAAACAGAAGGTGCAAGTCTAAGTAGGCCTAATCAGAAGTAAGTCACATGCTATGCAGGGAGGGGGGTCTTAGACCCCAGTAAAGTGTTCCTAAGACAGCAGGCAGGGTGCCTTCAATGAGAAATTTAACAGTTTACTTCTTCAAGATGCTGCATTAAGCACAACAGCATATGATTCACTAGAATCCAAGCATGGACACAATGCCAAACTCACATGTTTGTGGAGACACCCAGCTGTAACTCTGAAGCAGCAGTCTCAGCTGGGTCTGCTCTTACAGGGAGACTGCAATACTTGTCTTAATAAAATGTAAAGCAATGGGCACCATACTGCTGAAAGCTGGGAGAAGAACAGCATCATGAAGACCTCTAACTTTCATGGAAGCTTTGGACCACAGGGCAAGCGTGCATCCCAAAATATCACCACTAAATTATTGGGGAGAGGGAAAGTTGCACACATAAAGAAAAGGCATTAAAAATACTATTTCTTCTACCTGTGTTTTTAGAAGTGCAAGTTCTGGGGAAAAAAGTACTAAAAGATAGACTTTCTGCTTGGTTACTGTGAATCCCTGACATGCTTTCCCACTGTCCAGAAGCAGTAAGATAAAATGCAAGACTGTTGCTCAGCAACAGTTCCCTCATCCCCATCCTGCTTGTCGGAAAATAAGCTTTTTCAGGAAGCAAAGGGTGAAAGACAAGAGATGGCCATAGGAAAACAAGATGAAATGGGCAGCTTCATTCAGCCCTTTTCTCATTTGCATGTGCACTCTCCATGCTTCCCGAAGAATCTCTTTATGGCAAGGTGAGCAAGAGAATGATGAAAAACAGGTTGCTTACTGGTGATTTTTGAGCGGTCATCTGTGCATTCACACCCATGGGATCTAGTGAGCATGCGCTGGATCGATCAGCATTGTAGCAAGCTCTTTAATGGATTTTCGCGCCCAGACCTCGGTCATGCTCAGGAACCCCACTGCACATGCCCAGAGGGGAGGGCGTGGACATCCCACCAGTTCCTTCAGACCGCCGCAAATCACAACCCCTATTGAAAATGTAGACGCTGACAGCAGCGGGGAAGGAGGGCAGATGGTGTGAATGCACAGATGACCACTCGAAGATCACCAGTTACAGGTAAGCAACCTGTTTATCTTTGATGTGATCTCTGTGCTTCACACCCATGGGAGATTAGCGAGCAGTGGCCTACCTGGAGGAGGGTGCTGGCAGGTCCTTTACTGCGTAGCCGAAGACAGAATGTGACATCCCATGTTGGTATTCGCGTTCTTATGGATGTCTAGGCCGTAGTGCCTAATGAGGGTGTTAGGCGTAGCCCAGGTAGCGGCTTTACAAATGTCTGTCAGGGGCACTCTCTGGAGGAAGACAGTGGAAGTCACAACAGCTCTGGTAGAATGAACCCTGATAGGGCCAGGCAATGGCTGTTTGGTGATCAGGTAACAGAGACGGATGAGACCCACAATCCACTTTGACAGGCGCTGAGCTGTGATGCGAGTCCCCAGCCGTGCTGATGCGTAAGAGACAAACAGTTGTGAATCTCGTCTAGTTGAGTGTGTTCTATTGAGGTAGAACAGGAGAGCCCGCTTCACATCCAAAGTGTGTAAGGGTTTGTCCTCCGCGGATGTTGGATTTGGGAAAAAATCAGGGAGGAAGACCTCCGCCTGCAGGTGGAACTCTGACACCACCTTCGGCAGGAAGGCGATGTCTGGTATGAGGCGGACTCCATCTGGCAAAAATGACAGGTAAGGTGTATCATGCCGGAAAGCCATTATTTTGCCCACTCGTCTAGCTGAGGTGACAGCAGCTAAAAAGGCCGTTTTCCACGCTAGAAGTTTGAGGTCGCAGGTTGCGAGCGGCTCAAAGGGCTTCCTCGTGAGCTGGTGGAGAACTAGAGGAAGGTCCCAGGGAACAACAGGAGTTTTAATAGGAGGGTATATATGCAATAAACCTTTTTTCATCACCTAGGGAAGAACAGAACCTTCACCATTTACAATTGTAGGACTTCTGCGTAGAAGGTTTGCTACGCGGGTGGAAAAACCGTTGATGTTATTCTCCACACTGTCAATTTCAATTGCGGTATGTCATGATGTAGGAGAGGGGAGTGTGACAGGAAGAGGAGGTCCTGAGCTGGAGGGAATTAATGGTATATTCCTGTTGATAATTCGAGGACTGTCGAAAACCATGGTTGCCTCGGTCACCATGGGGTTATCAATATACAGTCCACGCCATCCCTGACTATTTTGCGGACCACTCTCAGAAGCAGAGATAAGGGAGGGAACAGGTAAAGAAGTCCCGTGGACCAAGGGTAAAGGAGACTGTCTCCCAGAGATTGTGGGTCCCTGCCTCCTCGACTGCAGAACAGAGGACACTTTTTGTTGGTTCTGGTGGCAAAAACATCGACTGGGGGAAATCCCCACCTGCGGAAGAGTGGGAGGAGGTATGTTGGGTTCATCTCCCACTCGTGAAGGCTGAGTCCTGCTCGACTCAGATGGTCTGCCTGCACGTTCATGTGTCCAGGGATGTGAGTGGCTATGAGGAAAATGTTGTTGGTGATGCAAAGGTCCCACAACTGGATGGCAAGGTTGCAGAGGCATAGGGAAACAGTGCCTCCCTACTTGTTGACATAAGAGAGCACCGTGGTGTTGTCTGTGAAGACTGTGACACATTTCCCCCTGATAACAGGTAGGAAGCTGGTGACAGCATGCTGTATTGCTAGCAGTTCCAGGATGTTTATGTGTCGCTTCCTCTTCTGTGTGTCCCATTTCCCTCCAACAGAAAGGCCCATCGTGTGTGCACCCCATCCCATCAGGGAAGCATCTGTCGTTAGGGTGATTTGGGGTGAAGGCGGATGGAAGGGTGCCCCTTGGAAAAGATTGGAAGGGACAGTCCACCAAAGTAAGGACTCTCGTATGTTGGGAGGAGGGGTTAGGATGGTGGTATGTGCGTTCTTCGTGGTATCGAAGTTGCGGATGAACCACAGTTGTAGGTGGTGCATTTTTAGTTTTGCAAAAACCAGGACTGATGTAGTCGCGGCCATAAGGCCGAGTAGCCTCTGTATCTGGAAGGCCGTGACCAAGGGTTGGGTACGAACAACGGTGGCTAGGTGGATGATGTCTGCCGCTCTGTCTTGGGGTAGGTAAGCCATGCATGTCTTGGAATCCAGTAGGGCACCGATGTATTGTATCTGCTGGGCCGGTTGAAGTTGAGACTTCTGGAGATTGATTTGCAAACCCAGATCTTCCAAGAGTACCATTGTCTCATTGATGTTTGAGACTAGAGTGTCCTTGGATGATGCTACTAGGACCCAATCTTCGATGTACGGGTAGATGGAAATACCCTTGAGACGGAGGAAGGCCGCCACCACAATCAAAGTCTTTGTGAAGACTCTTGGGGTGCTCAAAAGGCCGAATGGTAGGGCTGCATATTGGTAGTGCTGTTGACCAATTGCGAAGCGTAGTTATTGGTGGTGGGAGGGGTGGATGGTGAGGTGGAAGTACACGTCTTGGAAGTCGAAGTGGCATAATCTGCTGCAAGGACACCATGCGGAAGCGGTGGTAGGTGACATAACAGTTCAGTTCCCATAGATCTAATATGGGTTGAACACCTCCATCCCGCTTTGGGACTGTGAAGTATTGGGAATAAAATCCTGTCCCATGGAGGTGGGGTGGTACCTGATCGATGGCTCCCTTGTGCAGGAGGATGGACACCTTGTCTAGGAGAGGTGGGGAAGGGTGTGTGGTGACGACGACTGGAGTGTTGGGGTTCTGGTCGAATTTAATACGGTAGCCTTGGGTTATGATGGACAGTACCCATTGGTCCAAGGTGATGTGACGCCAGGCATAAAGGAAGGGTGACAGAGGGGTTTGAACTGACTCGGTAGGAGGGAAGTCAAAAGCCCTGCTTGGAGGACCTTGGTTGTTTGGTGCGTGAGGGCTATTGTCTTGTTCCAAACTTAAGCTTTTGAAAGGCGGGTCTTTTGACCACCGGAAGCCGTACGTGGTCTCCATTGCCTGTCTGGAGACTAACGATTCGGGGTGCGCCTTTGCCAGGGCCTAGTCCAGGTGTGAGGGCGAAATTGTTGCCTTGTGGAGGATGACACTCCTAGAACACAAGAGGCCTTTATGCTCTTATCTATATCCTGGAGCATGGTATCGGTCGTGCTGTTAAAGAGACCGAGGCCATCAAAAGAAAGGTCTTCGACATAGGACCTAGTATCTTGCAGAAGATTGGTATTGCGGAGCCAGGAGTGTCTCCTCAGAGCAATCGCTGAGGCCATTGTTCTGGAGGAAGCATCTAAGGCATGTTTGGAAGTGTTGATCTGCTGCTTTGCAAGGACCATGCCTTCCTTTTGAATAATCCTGGTCACCTGAAGCTTGTCTTCGGGGATGTGGGTCAGGAGGTCGGAGAACCTTTCCCGCAAAGTATATTGATATCTGCTCATGCAGGCTAGGTAGTTAGTGGTTTTGACCCCTAACACACCCATGGAGTAGAAGCATCTCCTGAATGTGTCTAATTTCCTACTTTCCTTGTCAGAGGGTGCCGAGTGTGTTCGCTTTGACTTGGACGAGGATGTTACGACTACCTAATTTGGTTGAGGGTGGGAAAATAGAAATTCGGCACCTGTCTTCTGGACTTTGTACATGTGGTCCAGACGTCTCGTTGACACCGGGGCTGAAGACGGCTTTTCCCATGGAGACTTGATAGCTTGCAAGAGGACTGCAGACATGGGGAGTGCAATAGTAGTGGAGGTATCCAGTTGCACAATATCAAAAACAGGATCAGTAACCTGTGGCTGTTGTTGTATGACAGAGAGGCCTAGAGAATGGGCCATCCGTTTGACAAGGTCTGCATAAGAAGTGAGATTGTCGGATGGTGATATAGGGAGGTCCTCCACGACAGCTTGGTTAGGAGACTTGTGGTCAGGGGAGGTTTGGATCTCCGAAGCCTCTGAGTCAAATTCGTCATCTCCAGAGTCAGAGCAGCCCTGTTTGGGTATTTGTACTGGAGTAATCTCAGGTTGACTAGTTAAAACCTTTGGTGGAATGACTTGGGGGGTGGAAGGACCCAGAGGTTCTGTTTGATGGTGGGAAGGATCTTCAGCCGGAGGTCGAGACAGCGATGCTGAAGGTCTTGATTTATAGGGTGACCTTGATCTGTGACCAGAATAGGTCGAATAGCGATCCAAGTCGGAATAGCCCACAGGAGTCAGCCAGGGTATGGATGGTGTACAATTGTCGTAGAGGTATCTCAGCTGGCGTTGATCCCACAACATCGGTGGTGTGGGGGGGATAAAGACTCTGGGGGATCGACTTCTGGACCAATCACGTCTCGGAGACAAAGAAATGTGCCGTCTTTGTGAACGGTCTCTAAAAACTCGCTCATCAATAGTATCGGCATGCAGACGTGAAGGTTGACACTGCGTGCTAGAAGGAATGTGTCGATTCCAACCTGTATCGATGTTGGGAGCTTCCGAAACTGTCGATGTTGACGATGGAGAAGGAGAGAGGGAAAGCTCTGCACCCGTGGGGTGACTTAAGAGCTCCACATTCTTTTTTTTTAACAAAACAATTTTATTGATTTTATCAAGGTAACAGAGAACAGACAAATTTTTGAATAAGAATCAAATCAGTTACAGAAACAACAAGGTAAGTACATTTTAAACAGGTTCTATATGGTTAATTTTAGTATATTGGGTTACAATGGATTAAGTATTGTACGTTTCGTTTTAAGTTTATAAAAGGTTCAATTTAAAATATTCAGAAATTTACTAGATTTGTGCAATCTACGACGATGGTTATTTCAGATGGTTCTTATTTTAAATGAATTGCAAGATTTGGTATTTAGCTTGTGATATAGTCTCCCAGTCGAACTTATCAACATCAATTTTGTCCAGTATCGGGGACCAGATACTTAGTGGGTTATATAATTCGCATTTGGATTGGTGTGAAGTGAAGAGCTCCACATTCTTGATATCGGAGTAGGGACAGTCCAGTTGTTGAACAGGAGAGTCCAAAATCTGAATTGTAGATATCGGTGGAGGGGCATGCATCTCCGATATCGATGGAGTGGGGGGCACTATAGGGGCATCACCCAGTGTGGACGCCGCTACTTTCACCTTCTTCGCCGCTTTGAGGGGCTTAGAGGAACCCTTTTTTGCGGACGTCTCCTTACTTGTCTTGGGTCTCTTCTTCACTGGTGTTTAGGCGGAGGATTGTGCCTTTGATGCCGGAGGCTTCGGCGTCAGTTGAACGATGTCAGACGCAGGCCTCGAGACCAGAGCCGTCGAGGTCGAAGGTCTCTCGGAGTCCATCGTTGTGGAAGGATTTAGAGCTGATTGAAGGAGCGCCACTTTGAGGCGCACAGCTCGGTTTGTTCGGGTTCGGGTTGAAAATCTTGCACAGTGCTGGCAAAAGTCAGGTCTGTGAGACTCTCCCAAACACAAAATACAGAGGGTGTGGCGGTCAGGCGGTGTGAGTTTACTACCGCAACGTTGACACTGGTTTAAAAAGCCCCATTTTTTCTCCATAGAATAAGAAAGTAGTGGAGAAGGAAGGGGAGGGTAGAGCCCGAAGGCCAAGCTGAGGTAAATGGAACTTTCTCCCCTCAGGAAAAATAAAGTCTTTTTTTTAAAAAATTTTTTTGTAGGTAACAAAGAAGTAACACAAAAAAGGTAGAAAAGTGAGGAAAAATCCAAAGAGCCATGAGGCAAATAGCCAAAAATAGTGAACCGATCAGACTGACGGAGAAAAGGTCTTTCCAACGTGGCGGTAAGAAAGGAACTGGCGGGATGTCTGCGCCCTCCCCTCTGGGCATGCGCAGTGGGGTTCCTGCGCATGACCGAGGTCTGGGTGCGAAATTCCGTTAAAGAGCCTGCTACAATGCCGATCGATCCAGCGGGTGCGCACTAGATCCCATGGGTGTGAAGCACAGAGACCACGTCGAAGATCACATGATGCCACTGCTATATCATGGCTTTGTGCTCTTTACTGTTCCTTCCAGGCTATCCCAAAGCAGGAAAAGCCTAGATTTTCTGGGACAGGTAGCATCCTGTAGAAGGCCAGATCTGCCTTAACTAGGCCTAGAGTCTTCAAAAAAATTCTGAATGAGATTTTGCTGTGGTCATGTACACAGTTCCCATTCTCATGCAGCCTCACTAACCAACCAAGAGACTCCTGGATAAGCATGACTGACACGAATGAAAGTTAAGTGTTGCATGTATTGCCCACTGTCACTGCCATGGATCTAATCATGTATATGTGCATTTCTGATCTGGAGAACTTACTCTTCCGGCCTCTTCAAGGGCTTTTTGATCATTTAATGCATGTCCGGCCATTGATCGAACTCTAATAGCATTTGCTATCACAACAAAAGGAACACATGCCAGGATGAGCAATGTTAATTGCCAGCCATGTACAAAAGCAATAATAATAGCGGCAAGGAGGGTAAAGATGGTCATAGTCGATAAGCCCAGTCGACTTCCTGTTGCCTGAAATGAAAGAGCATTTGAAGTTACCTTATTTTTCTTCCATAAGAAAAAAAAATGAAGTCTACTTATTGCAGAACTAGAGTTTTAAGAAGAAAACACGAAAGCTCAACGTTTCAATGACTTGGTGTTTATGTATGTCACTATTTTAATATCTACAAGTTCAGTTAAAGGAGGCTTGGCAGAAACATCTATTCTCCCCTTTGCTCTTGACTAACACAGCTGTGCTGCTGCTGCTTAGCAATGCCACCAACATTTTGAACCATTATTAATAGCTTTACAGCAGCCATATACAATAACAGTTCTATAGTTTCTCATTAGAATTTGTAACCAGGATTTTCACAAAGGCATTCAAGAATCTCTCTGCACCAATATGAGATCAGCATCTTATACAGCAACCTCACACTCCAGCCTAGGAAATAAACAGGGTTACCAGCCTCAATGCAGAGCCTGGAGCTCTCTCAATATCACAACTGATCTCCACTGGAGGATTATTTCCACTGGAGAAAATGGCTCATTCACGAAACCCACCAGTACTCTTCTCAAGGTTTACTGATTCTTCTGGTTTCAAAATACAGTTTCTAAACACATCTGACCAGGGATCACTCCACTCCTCAGAGCTATCTCCCTTTTCCAACTGGGTAAGGAATTTCACTAGAAGTCCTATCCCCTTTTCTGGCCTGAATGGGAATCTTCACCTAACTACCCACTCCTCCTGCCAACCTTCCCAGAACTCCATGTGTGATAACTGTCCTCAGTCAGGGCTGAATTCAGATTGAATTCTCCTCAGCATCCAGTTCAGAAGTCTTTCTCTGCTCTACTGATGCTAACCAATCAGATCTCTTGGAGCAGCCTGTCACTTAAGGCTCTATGGCTCTGTGATGAATTAACCCTTCACATTATCTGTTTAAACAGCATTTATAAGATTTTAAAGTGTGGGGAGACCTCCAAGGAATAGCAGGATCATGAAGTGGAAGCAGGAAATGGCAAGCCATCTCTGAACAACTCTTGCCTTGAAAACCCTATGGGGTCACCATAAGTCAGCTGTGAACTGATGACAAAAAAAGTACTTAACTACAACTATCTTTTTCAAAGTGTGGATGTTCCTCCCATAAGCCTTCCTTTGACTGGCTGAATGTCACCTTGGATGCATTATACTGAATGAGCTAGGCATAGGTACTATAGTAACAGCAAGCTGCATTATTAATACAATTAATACTTTTTTTTTTAGAGACGCCAATGTTGGATCAGGCCAAAGGCCCATCCAGCCCAACACTCTGTATCACACAGTGGCCAGAAATACCAGTGCCATCAGGAGGTCCACCAGTGGGGCCAGGATATTAGAAGCCACTGTTGACCCCCCCAAGCACCAAGAAGACAGAGCATCACTTGCCCCAGAGTCCCTATCTATACCTTGTGGCTAATAGCCACAGATGGACCTCTGCTCCATATGATTATCTAATTCCATTTTGAAGCCGTCCATGCTTGTAGCCGCCACCACTTCCTGTGGCAGTGAATTCCATGTGTTAATCACTCTTTGGGTGAAGAAGTACTTTCTTTTATCCACCTCGATCATGTCACCCCTCAGTCGTCTTTTCTCCAAGCTAAAGAGCCCTAAGCGCTTTAACCTTTCCTCATAGGGAAAGTGTTCCAACCCTTTTATCATTCGGGTTGCTCTTTTCTGCACTTTTTCCAAAGCTATAATATCCTTTTTAAGGTGTGGTGACCAGAATTGCACACAGTATTCCAGATGAGGTCGCACCATTGATTTATATAGCGGCATTATGATATTGGCTGATCTGTTTTCAATACCCTTCCTAATAATCCCCAGCATAGCATTGGCCTTCTTTATTGCAGTCACACACTGTCTCGACATTTTCAGTGAGTTATCCACTACAACTCCAAGATCTCTCTCTTGCTCAGTCTCTGCCAGTTCAGACCCCATCAATGTGTATTGATATTTAGGATTGTTGGCTCCAATGTGCATCACCTTGCACTTGGCAACATTAAACCCCATTTGCCATGTTGACTCCCACTCGCTCATCCTTGACAGATGAGTGTCTCACAATCCTCACTGGTTTTCACCACCTGAACAACTTTGTATCATCCGCAGATTTAGCCACTTCACTGCTTACTCCCATCTCAATTTATGAACAAGTTAAAAAGCAGTGGACCAAGTACTGATCCCTGCGGTACCCCACTGCTTACCACCCTCCACTGAGAAAATTAGCCATTTATACTCACTCTCTGTTTTCTATTAATTAGCCAGTTTTTGATCCATAAAAGGACTTGTCCTTCTATCCCATGATTTTTTAGCTTACTTAGGAGCCTTTGATGAGGAACTTTATCAAAAGCTTTCTGGAAGTCAAGGTAAACAATATCTATTGGATCCCTCTTGTCCACATGTTTGTTCACCCCCTCAAAGAACATTAACAGGTTAGTGAGACAAGATCTTCCCTTACAGAACCCATGCTGAGTCTGCCTCAATAGGTTTTGTTCATCTATGTGCCTACTAATTCTTTCCTTAATAATGGTTTCCACCAATTTACCCGGTATCGACGTCAGACTGACTGGCCTGAAACCCTTTTTAAAGATGGGAGTGACATTTGCACTCAATTGCTCAAATTGCTCAAGACACCAACAATACAGTATTTAAAATGCCAGGTAATTTCAAAAGCAGATTATGTTGCTTTCTACAATAACCTCTTATCTGAATCAGGGTAATTAAAATTTCACTGTGGAAATATACAACAACAACAGAACACTTACTCCTTTAACTTGAGAAGCGTCTGTAGCAAGTCTGGTTAACAGAACCCCAATACCATTCTTATGGTCATCAAACCATCCAATTTCCTGAAAACAAAAAAGTGGTTGAGAAAATCCTTGTATTTGTACATGGTCCTTGTCATAACTCAACAGTGGTTTGTTATTATACAATGCACCTAATTAATGAATCATTGAGAAAAAGAACGAAAGTCAACTCAAGTACCCAAACAGTTATTTATCGTTTCCTAATATGAAAAATAAAGTGTTTTGTTATAGTTTATAAACCATGAAAAGATTACCCTATCTACAAATATAGTCAACATTATTAAGACAAAACTAGTGAGCCACACAGAACCCTCTCTAATAACCTAACCTTCAGAACTCTGTGAGCCTTAGACATACTGCAACTGGATTTATCCAGGAGGTGATCAGTATTAGACCTCAATCTCCTTCCAGCAACTCCTTTCACAATTATGAGAAGTGAATGACCAAGCTGGGAAATGCTGCCTTCAGATACTAGAATGCAAGATCATCCAGTTCAGATATTTAACTTCTCATTTCATTGATGCAAGCAGAAACGGATTGAGGAAACGACTGTGCTCTCAATTTAATTTTCTATGCTCAGTTCGTTGAACTGGGTTCCACTCTGTTCAGTTTATCTCTGAGCATCTTGAGAATTTAATAGTGAAAGATCCCAGTTTTTACTATCCTCATTTGTGTTAAGTCAGACTTGAGTTTATGCTTGCACAAGATGTTGGAAACTAATATGTAGGTTGACTTTTGGGTGAGGCGGCAGGCGTCCAGAAAAAGCCCAGGTGCACCGTTATTGATGTAGTTTGTTTTTAAATGCTGTTTTAAGGTTTTAACTGATTATTTAGAATCATAGAATCATAGAGTTGGAAGGGGCAACCAGGGTCATCTAGTCCAACCCCCTGCACAAGGCAGGAAATTCACAAATACCTCCCCCTCCACATCCGCAATGACCACTGTTCCATGCCCAGAAGATCACAAAAAACCTCCAGGATCACTGGCCAAACCAGCCTGGAGAAAAATTGCTTCCTGACCCCAAAGCAGCAATCAGCATTTCCCTGGGCATGTAAAAAAGGGCCACAAGAACTAAGCACTGAGGCAACCCTTCCTGCCCTCCCTCTCATGAACTGCCTAAGTTCACAGAATCTGCATTGCTATCAGATGGCCATCGAGCCTCTGTTTGAAAACCTCCAAAGAAGGAGAGCACCCTGCACCCCAAGGGAGCCTGTTCCATTGAGGAACCATTCTGTCAGGACGTTCTTCCTAATGTTTAGCCAAAAACTCTTCTGATTTAATTTCAACCCATTGGTTCTGGTCCAACCTTCTGGGGCAACAGAAAACAACTCTGCACCATACTCTATATGACAGCCCTTCAAGTACTTGAAGGTGGTTATCATATCACCTCTCGTTCATCTCCTCTCCAGGCTAAACATACTCAGCACCTTCAACCTTTCCTCATAGGACTTGGTCTCCAGACCCCTCAGCATCTTTGTTGCTCTCCTCTGGACACGTTCCAGCTTGACTATATCCTTCTTAAATTGTGGTGTCCAAAACTGAACACAATACTCTAGGTGAGGTCTAACCAGAGCAGAGTAAAGTGGTACCATCACTACATATGATCTGGACACTATACTTCTGCTGATACAGCCCAAAATTGCATTTGCCTTTTTAGCAACCACATTACATCTACTATGACCACAAGATCCTTTTCATACATACTACTGCCAAGACAAGACTCCCCCAACCTATAATTATGCATTTGATTTTTCCTACCTAAATGCAGAATTTATCCCCATTGAAATTCATTTTATTTGTTTTAGCCCAGTTTTCCAGCCTGTCAACATAATGCTCTATCCTGACTGTCTTCTACCATATTTGCTATCCCTCCCATTTAGTATCATCTGCAAATTTAATAAGCAGTCCCTCTATCCATTCATCCAAATCATTGATAAAGATGTTGAACAAAACAGGTCCCAGGACAGATCCTTGAGGCACTCCACTTGTCACTCCTCTCCAAAAGATGAGGAACCATTCAAAAGCACTCTTTGGGTGTGATCTGTCAACCAGGTACAGATCCACCTAACAGTCATAGGACCCAAACCACATTTTCCCAATTTGTTAACAAGAATATTATGTGGAACCTTATCAAAAGCCTTAATGAAATCAAGATAAACTATGTCTACAGCATTCCCCTGATCGAGCAAGGTAGTAACTTTCTCAAAACAAGAGATAAGCTTACTCTGACATGACTTGTTCTTGAGAAACCCATGCTGGCTCTTAGTAATTACAACCGTCCTTTCTAAATGCTCAAGGATTGTCTCTTTGATTATTTGTTCTAAAACCTTCCCAGGAATAGATGTCAAGCTGATGGGTTGGTAGTTACCTGGATTCTCCTTTTTCCCCTTCTCTGAGGACTTAAGTTTCATTTAAAGAAACTAGGAGTTTATGTACTACCCCTATGTTCATTCTAGGCTGCAACTCCCTTCCCCCATTATGTGTTCTATTTTTGCCATATTGAGCACCGTTTCCCTTGCAAGAGAAGACAGGAAAAGTAGGAATTGAGCAGTTCTGCCCTCTCTTCATCACCTGCTACAATTTCACTTTCCTGTCCCCGCAATGGGCACAATTAATTTTTATTTATTATTGTGTTATGAAGCCGAATGGCCCAACAGTGTTGTGATCTCCCTTTCATGGGGAGGGTGAAATATAAATTTGAAAAATAAAATATATGATAACATTGCACAGGTTTCTTTCATTTGATATACTGCAAGACAGATATGGCGGATCATTCTGTCTTTGGCTTCAGTGCTGATATACAACACTGAAGCAGATGAACCACTAACCTGACCCAGCCTCAAAACTGTGTCATCCCCCCCCCACATATGTGTTTTCTGTCATTACCTGTTGGAGCAATGCTTTGAATGAAAGTGATCGCAACCGCATAGTCAGAGCTTCCCCTGATCTCCCAAACATGAATCCCTGAAAATGTATGAAGACAAAATATTTTATTTTTGAATACCAGGAAATTGTCATAACCTTTTAAGGCTAACAGTGCATTCGGGGTATGTGTGTGCTAAGGGAGCCAACTAGTTATTATGCTGGTGTATCACCAACAGTTAGCCTGACACAGCACCCAAGAGCTGTCCTACAGCTCTTGGCCACCATTGCAGCCTCACAGTGGCTGCTCCTTGGTGGGCCATTGGGCCATTGAAGGATGTAGTTAGCTCCCTAAGGGGTTTCAGTCTGGGAATGCCCACCATCAATGGTGGAAAGGTATGCCAACAACCCCCCCCAAACGGTGTAGTACATAGGTGTTCATCCAAGTCAATAACATGCGTGTCCCCCCCAACTGGTGTGGCCATGGACAAAAGGACTGGAGAAGGATAGGATGCCAAATACAGGTGCAACCAAACACCTCCCTCCCCTGCAGTGGCTAACCCCCTCTCCCCAGCACACAATTGCTGCCCCCCAGAAAACCTCGGATGGGATGTCCCAGAACCCAGAACTCATTAGGTAGGGTGCATAGCATGGGGCTCCCTGCTGTGTGGAGCCATGTGGCACTTTGGTGGTGGAAAAAGCACAGCAGTACTGGGTGACCACTCAGCACTAATATCCAAGGGGGGAGAACAAAGTCCATACTGTGCTGCTAATATGTGTCAATGCAGAACCTTAACAGCTACCCCATCTTTAGAGGTTTGACCCAAAGGGGCAACTGTGGATTGACAGGTAAACAAAGGGGGGAAACCAAAACGTGCTTCCCCATTCCCCTTGCATAAGGCTGGGGATCACCTTGGTGATGCCACCTCCCACACTAAGCTCAGCAGTGCCTTTGTGCAGGTGGCATGAGCCATGCCCTCCCAGCATGATAGTCCCTGTCATGAAATGTGAAAAGATCCCGGGAAAGTTCCCTGGGTGAACTGCTGGGAAGTGGAAAGGAATGTTTTGAGCCCCACATTGGGCTGTTCAGGGGTCATTTCATAGAAAAAGAGATACAGGAGCTCATTAGCATAACTTATTAGCATAACTTATTTCCATACCTCACCCCCCGGCATCACCGGAAGTGTGTCAGAAGGCAACCCCCACCATTCAGGCTCCACTGGACTGTTTTGGATTGCTAGCTATTGGGGGGGGGAACATGCAGATCTATCCTTGCAGAGGAGGGAGAGCTTGTACCTGAATAAAACCTGGTCTTAAAGGTGCCCCTGGACTGTTTTGGATTGCTAGCTTTGTGGGCGGGGGGGAACGCGCAGATCTGCCCTCACAGAGGAGGGAGAGCTTGTACCTGAAGGCGGGCCGGGGGGGGGCTCTGCAACTTACCTGGCTGCTTCTTGCTCCTCGTGGCCCGACTGAGGGCTGCTGGGAGCAGGGGGCAGGGCTTGTTGCATGTGCCCGCCCCCTGGGCTCCTTACTGCTGAAGCTCCGCTCCTGTGTGCTCCCGCAGGAAATTACCCCTGGGGCTGTTAACTCACTGTTTTGCCTGGAACCCCCCTCCATCACCAGCAGGGAAAAGAGTTTATTCGTGGTTTGGCAGCTGCCCCACCTTACTCAATGGAGCAACTTGCTGGGAGACCCTTGCAGGATCAGGGCCTTGTGCAGCAGCTGCTACAGTTGATGGATCATTAGCAGTTGCTCAACACTTTAACACAGGATGAGTGAGTGTCATGTGGATGGCACCAGCAACTGCCCCAAGGGGGGGGTTCAGAGGCAAATTCCCTCCTCATGGAGTTGGGATTGTAGGCCTAGCTAGAATACCATAGACCTGGCTGAGCCCAGCATGGAATTTGTGCCTGGTTGCCATCACTGCTTGTGTCTCAGTTTTACTTTCCTGCAGGTGATGATTCAGCAGGAGGACCTCAGAGTGTGGCCTCCCCCCCCACTGTTCAGTCTGCAGTCCCAGCCCGCCTCCTGGAGTGGAGCACTGCACTTGGCCAGCTCTTCCACCTGCAACTTTGTCCCGCTTAGATGCGTGCCATGCCAGGGTAGGCTCAATCCACTGGCCCATGGACCCAGGGAGGTAGCAATTTGAGTCATGAGAGGTTTTCATGATTTGGAGTTCAATAAATTATGAGTTGTGCCATAACCAGGGCTATTTTTGGGCAGGAACGCACAGGAACGGAGTTCCGGCTGGCTCCTGAGTTGGCCACGCCCAGCAGGAACTCATTAGCATAATAGGCCACACCTAACAGCAGAAACTCATTAGGATTGGCTACATTAGGGGTGTGTGGCCTAACATGCAAATAAGTTTCTGCTACAAAAAAATCCCAGGGTTTTGACAACAAAGTAAACAGAATAAGAAGCAAAAGGTGGGTGTGACTGGATGACCACACTTCTGGTAACATGGGTGTGTGTGGTCTAATATGCCAATGAGCTGTGCTATCAGGGGTGTGGCTTAATATGCTAATGTGTTTCTGCTGTTGGGTGTGGCCTATTATGCTAATGAGTTCCT